CGTAGCGGACTCAAGTGCCATTCTATATAATTAGCATTATATTACATCCTGTTTATATTATATTTATTGGAGTTTCACCACCCTAGTGCTATGAAAAACACTTGTGAAAACCACATTTCACGACTACTGCACATCACCGCGAATATCGCTTTTTTCACCGAGTTTTACGCCACTCCGCGTAAAACGGATGAACTCCATATGCTAATATTTCATATACGATATATTCAATTACTTGTTTATAATATATTTCATATTATATTATATACATATTATGATGTCCATCTTGAGATGTATTTATTTATTATTAGTTCATTGGAGTTTCGCCCGGGATATGAAAAACACTAGTGAAAACCATGTTTTACGACTACTGCATATCACCGCGGATATCGCGTTTTTCCCCGAGTTTTACGCCACTTCACGTAAAACGGGTGAAATCCCATTATATAAATATACTATGAATTGATTCATGCACTCGGGACAGATTCTCCAACGATTGTGCACGCATCTTAGTGAATAAATCTCTCAACATTGCTGAGTTTATCATTTGGAGATTTTGAAAATATGTGGCAGGTACGAAAAGGATTATCGTTCTTCTGACCCTCTGGCGGTTCCATTTATGTGTACGAAGGAGCTCAAGCGGAACATGCTCAACGAGGCAGGGTTACGTTTAGCCTTGAGGAATGATATTCTTCAGAGTTTGATAACAATGGGGAAAATGTTGCTAATGTGATTATGACATTTACATGGGAAACTGATTGAAGAATGTGCTCCTAGCCATGTGAGGAATTCAAAATGAGTTTTCCCCGGGAACATTCTCGATGATTCCCTGCTTACTTTTCCCACAGTTTGTTGTCGAACGTCATAAGGTCCTCAGAGTTATGCACCAGAGGCACTTGGTCATTTACAGTAGGCCATAGGAACGTTTGACAGAAATCGAGGAATTCTTCAAATCCATGCCGTGCTAGCCATACGTGGGAAATTCAAAATGAGTTGCCTGGCTCGGTTTTTGTATTATTCCCTGCAACGAAGTGCTCGAGGGTGTTTATGGCTTATTTTAGGCACATAAAATGAATCAGAGTCCCAACTTGGTCGTAAACGAGGCATTATGGGAGGCGTACTTAAAACGAGCGGCGCAGCTTTCTGATAAGGTGATATGTGGAAAAGGAAAAAAAATTTTCACGCCATGTGAAAATTTCTGGTAATTTTTCGGAGAGAATTGTGGTTGGTAAAGCGCGTGTAGAGGAAAAAATTAGTGAAAAATGTTGGGGGAAATTATTATTTTTTTCCTATTTTTTCAGTGCCATTTTCGATCGCTGCTGAGAGTGTTCCAAGCTGCAGCATCTGTACGAATATATAATCGTCGAGTTATACCATACTACCGTACATTATTGTCGGCATGTGCGGTGAAGTTCGGCGAGATGAAACCGGAGAATTTCTGTCATCTGATGCAGGTGAGATCGTATATGGCAGCTACTGAGACATCGTAGAACATTATTCATGATGATAACACTGGAGTTTCACTCGAGATATGAAAAATATATTTCACGACTACTGTATATCGCGAAAATCGCGTTTTTCACAGAGTATTATGCCACTTCACGTAAAACTGGTGAAACTCCAGTACACTAGTATAATATATAGTTATATTATGAAGTATTATCTAATATTCATTGACCTTGTTGAATTTAGGCACTTTCTCGATTGCAGTACAGGGATGAGAGGTTAGTAATGATGTTACAGAAAACGGCATTGACTTGGCCGACGGTGACGCACAAGATCCTCGTGAAAGCTGCTAACTCGGCGGCTAAGCTCGACCTTGCTTCTCAGCTTTGGTGAGAAAACTGGGGGAAAATTTTCGGGAAAATGGGGAAAATTTTTCCGGTTTCTAGATTACCGTTGTTATTAATTGTGAATATTTATGGTTGAATTTTTGTTATAGTATGTTCGAGTAAAAAAACGAAAAAGGCGGAGCGAAGACAGCAGATCAGTATAAAAGACGACTGAGTCTTGCTAACATGGCAAGGCACTTATCATGAAAAAAATCGCGGAATTTTTTTTTATTTTTTCGTTATATGGCTGACTGTTTTGGTGATAATCTGATGGTTTCTGTGGGTACCGCGTAAGATCAGGTGTAAACCTCTGTCGATTGCTTTGTCGCAAGCAGTATGTGAAAATACTCTCATTGTGAAGGAGTTTATGAACATCAAGTGGATAACAGTAAGGGAAGGAGAAGGATTCGATTTCCCGTTTGATTGGTTCGGGCTTACCGTGGTTCGTGCTGGTCGCGGGGTTCCTCAGGTTGTGGAGATGTTTGATGATGCTACTATGATTAACTACTTGTATCGGGCGGAGGCAGTGAAGAGGGAACAGCTTAGTGATATGAGGTGAACAACGGGAATTAGTAGTAGCATTATATCACTATTAACAACATGTTTTTATATGCATGTGGAGTATTCAGGAGTGTTTGTATTTTAGCTCAGTTGGAGTCGCCCGCTGTTAGGAGTGGGGGAAAATACGCATGGCCAACTACATGTGTTGGTGACAATGGAAAAAATTCGAGGAAATTTTGGGAAATTCTTGTTGGTTTTTCGGCAATTCTACACTGGAGTTTCACCACCCTAGTGATATGAAAAACACTAGTGAAAAACATATTTCACGACTACTGCATATGACCACGAATTTCGCGTTTTTCACCGAGTTTTACGCCACTTTACGTAAAACGGGTGAAACTCCACTGATCGGTATACTATAATTAATGAGGCATTCCCGAGCTTAGCTGAGGAAAGCGAAAATCTATTCCAACATTGGCTGTAAGCATTGATCTGTCGAGTCAGCTCGGTTAGTAGTGTAGAATTCGTGTGAATGTTGAATTTTATCCGAAATTGATGTGTGCGATTTACGGTATAGGTATGAGGAATTTGGCAACGGAATGGTTGATGCTTTTTAGGTACAGTAGGCATTTACAGGTGGTGGAGATGTATGTACGACTGTGTAAGGAGGAAAGTGTTTGGGAACAATTGGATGATAATGTGAAGGAGTTCCTCCGCGATGTAAGTCGGAATTATCATAGATAATTGTTTTCAACCCGCGGTTACTGTTGATCTTGACAATTTGTGTTGGGTGGTGTTCTTTACGTATATGTAGGTAGGTCGCAGGTTCGATCCCTGGGCCCGGCATGCGGTACTTCGTTCATTTTCGGTTTTCGAATGCGGGCATAACTCGCACGATGTGAAATGAATTCTAATGTGTAGAGATGGACTTATAAAAACCTGTATTTTCTACAGTTCGGGTTGGCCTTGCGATATGCGGTAACGTGAACGTGTGCGAATCAGTTGCGAAGTGACGAGAAGAGTGTCGAGGATGAGCGCGAGCGGCTAAAGGAGGAGAAGAAGAAGTCGAAGGAGAGGCAGCGGAAAGAGCTGCACAAGTACAAGAAAAGACTGAAAAAATACGGTGAAAAAGCGCGACCGTTGGCTGTCAAAAAAACTAAGACTCAGCGACGAGCATTGAGCTGCGAGCTCCATGGTGAGTCGGTTTGTATTGTGGTTGAGATGAGCGCACTTGTGTCAGGGGAAGTAGCTGAGCTGCTCGTCGGAGTAGGTTTGGAATTGATGATAGGAGTGAAAGCGGGGCCTTTCAATTTGGATATGTTCCACGCTGCAACGAATACAGTCATTGAAGTGTGCCCGGAGTGGCAGTTTTATGTAAGCGATATGGAGTGGTCGTTTAGATGTGTTGGTGATGGTATTGATATTGTGAAGGAATTTTGGTAAAATTCTCTTTGGTTTCTGTACACTTCTACCCGAATTCGTATGTAAACTTGTATAGTTAGTGAGGAAACTCCTGAGTTCAGGTGAGGAAAGCGAACATATATTCCTCCAACACTGGCGCTATGTGCATGGGGCCATGCACTTGTGTTGGAATGTCATTTTTCTAGTTTAGGCGTTCGATATAGAAGTTAAGACACGACATAGTGTAGATGTAAATCGGAAAACAACGAGATTTTTTTCGGAATTTTCTTATTGTCTTCGACACATGTAGTTGACCATATGCGTATTGGCATTAATTGTGAAATACATTTACTCTAAAAATTAATGTTTTCCATTATGACGCTGTGTGGTATTAATTCTGACTTTTTGAAACTACTTTCGCTTCGCCGTCTATGATCGAAGAGAGAATGACGCTAGCTACTGCTTTCGCGAACTGTGGCAGTGTCAAGCAGAAATACAGTGTGTCCAATTTTGATGGTCCAAAACGGAAAGATTTCGCTAATGATTAGGAATCCGAGACCCCGAGCATTCTGAGTTCCAAGCGTATGAAATGTATCACTATGTATTATCATAGTCGATGACGAATCGTTATAGAGTTAAACTGGGCGAAGAACATAAGTCTTCGGCACGCTGCCCAAATTCGATAGTCCCATTTTAACTCGAGTATATTGTGATTTTTTGGGTAGCTGTCAAGCCCACTGGTGACACTAGTTCACGAGGGGTTAGTGTAGAAGTCGCATCTTATGTGTATGCGTGTAATGGTTAACCAAAGAGAGTGATCACTCACCGCTCACTCCGTCTCGTGGTGGGCGCTGAATCTGGGATGGACCACACTCTCCGCTGAGCTCCTCGTCCAACTCGCATCTCAACACCCACCACTGTCGAGTAACTAAGCACGATCTGACTTTGACGGTTGTCTACTCTATGAGATAATAGATCACTACTCCTATGCCGTATCCATACACAACACTCGTCATATTGCAATCTAATAGATGCGAAGTATTTTACAATCTTGCCACATCACAAGATGCCATCTATCACAGCACAACTCGCCGTGATAACTCGCTGAAGAGCCATCGGTCAGCGTTATGGTTTGGCACTCAGGCCAAGACTACACATCTCACCTCGCGGAGCAGAGTACGACATATGCTTATACGGAAAATGGAATTCAACTTGGCGCTGGTGAGCTGGGTGTATTGGTATCAGTGTGGGAAAGTATGCACACGTGTGGACGACAATATAAAAATTCTGAGGAAATCGCGAGGAATCCTCATTGGTTTCTGTATACTCCTTTTCGAATTCATATATAGTTCTATAATATAGAATCTATATTCAACTCCGACAATCAGTGAGGAAACTTCTGAGCTGAGCTGAGGAGAGCGAACTTATATACCATCGCTGAGTATTATAGTCGTATACTGGTGAGGAGTTGGTAGTGATCCAGGTGCCTTTTCAAACGTGGGAAAGCCTTCCGAGTGCTAATGAGAGGCTTACATGGCTGAGTCGACATTTGCCTCGACATTTGGGGCTGCCTGAGCTCGTCGAGCTGCGGGGTACGGAGGTCAAGGAGTCGTGTTGAATTCATGTCGCTGGATGTTTCCGTACCACACGTTTCTCGTATCGGTTCTCTGTTGTGTTATACTTTAGTACAACTTCAACAGTTAAAATACTTGGCGACAATAGTGTATTGATGATTTCGACTGGCCAAGTGTGAATCGGTTATGCAATTTCTGTCCTTTTTCCATCTCATTCTCTATAGCTATCACAATTGTTTCGTCTACTCTCGTCCCCTGTTTA